CCATTTCAGAGAAAGGTGATCCAGCAGAATGGGGAACTATCTTAACAATACCATTAATACCACATGCAAGCACAATACTGCTAAAGATCATTCAGAACAGGCTAGAACAGTAGTATATACATAGGGAATTGCCAGAAGTTCAAGCAGGATTTAGAAGAAGCCGTGGCACCAGGGTTATCAATGCTGATGTCTGATGGGTCCTGGCTGAAATTAAAGAATATCAGAAGAATGTCTGTTTGTGCTTTATTGACTATGCAGAGACATTTGACTGTGTGGATCCCAATAGTTATGGCTAACTTTGAGAAGAATGGAAATCTCAGAGCTAGGAGCACTCCATGGTTTAGAATTAGGAAGGGAGTGTGTCAGGGTTGTATTCTGTCTCCATACCTATTCAGTCTCTGTGTTGAGCAAATTATTTAAGAAGCTAGACTGTATGAGAAGGAATATGGCATCAGGATTGGAGGGAGATCCATCAGTATCTTGTGTTACAGAGATGATACAACCTTGCTTACTGAAAGTGAGGAAAACTTGAAGCACTTGTTGCAGAGACCCAAAGAATACAGTCTTACATGTGTATTGCATCTCAGTGTCAAGAAGACAAAGATTCTTACCACTGGACCAATAGGCAACATCATGATAGATGGAGAAAACACTGAAACTGTAAAAAACTTCATTTTACTTGGATCCACAATTAACACCATTAGTAATCGGGAAATTAGGAGACATACTACACTGGGGAAGTCTGCAGTTAGAGACTTAAGGAGTGGTGATGTCAGTTTGAGGGCAAAGGTGCATCTGATTCAGGCCATGGTATTTCCAGTCACTTTCTATGCATCTGAAAGCTGGACAGTAAATAAGGATGATAGAAGAATTGATGCCTTTGAGCTGTGCTGCCTGTCAACTGCCAAAAGAACAAACAAATATGTCTTGGAGAGGCTCTTTGGAGGAAAGGATGATGAGGCTTCACCTCACATACTTCGTGCATGTTGCTAGGAAAGGTTATTCCTTGGAGAGAGACATGATGCTCTGAAACGTGGACCATTGACAAAGGAGAGGAAGACCCTCAACTAGGTGAATTGCCACAGTGACTTCTATAATGGACTCTGGTTTGTCAGGAGGTGTGAGGAAGGCACAAGATAGGGCAGGTTTCAGATCTGTTGTTCATAGTGTCACTTTAGGTTGTACTTGACTATAGTTAATAACAACAACATGGCCAAACAAAATGTGCTTGTTATGTTTATTTTTAAATGAATTGGTAAGTAGGTTTCCACTTCAGTTTTCATTTCTAATATGGTAAATATTAATAATGATAAGCACACATAAACAAAAGCTCTTAGAGGTTCTTAATAAAATCTCAGAGGATGCTGGGAACAAAATTGAGAGCCTCTGGTCTATAGAAAAAAATATCCAGTCTTAGAAAAAGACTTTCCAAAATGATCATTGAGTAACCTCTGATTCCTTTTAATGGTTCATAAACTACAGTATTTTTATAATGAGGCCAACATCAATGTCCTTCATAGCCCCATAGGAATGGGACAGAGAAAATAGCAATTTTTTTTCTAATTTTGTTATTAAGATTCTTCTTTGTAATTCTAAATTGACCATTTCTCTAGTGAATTTTAGATACTTAAAAATATTAGAAGTAAGTCACTGGAGCAACAAAAGATTGTGATGGAGATGAGTAAGATAAAATAGGGCAAAAATCTGACCTTGTTCTATTAATGTAGCCTCAGTGTACAAGTCTTTCAAGGGTGCTATTAATAATCCCTCAATTAACCGTGAAAATAAGGACAAAGTAGAATGAAAAATTCAAACTTATGAGTTATTTTAAAAAATCTCATTTTATCTTCTTACTTAAAAGGCTTTTTAAACTTTTAGTTTGAAAGTACTTAAAACGACCACCACCACCAGAAACCATTTCTTTTTTTCTGATTTTCTTTCATAGTATGTATTATTAAAATAATCATCAGAGGACTGGACATTAGAGAGTGTAAAACAAGCAAAGAATCAAACCCAGCAAACACTATGAGGTTAGAATGACCAATGATGAATTCTAGAATAACTAATCAGTTTCAATCTAGACAGCATTTTTGGCTGGAGGGTCCTAAGACTTATTATGAAACCTATCTTATTTCCACAATATCATGAGGAAAAAGGAGCCCCTAGAAGTGCAAACAGTTAATATTCTGACTGCTAACCAAAAGGTTGGCATTTAGGAGGACTTCTGGAGAAAGGCCAGACAATCTACTTCTGAAAAAGCTTCCATTTAAAGCCTTATGAAGTGCTGTACTACCTAGTCACACATGGGTCACCATGAATCAGAATTGATGGGAGCCATTAATGTAGAAACTAGGAACAAAGCTCAGTTTAATATTTGCTCAAAGGAAGAACATTAGACAGTGAGACTTACTTAGTCAAGATAACAGAGAAAAGACCAAGTTTTCTTAAATACAGCATTAATATAAATTTGTGTTTTGTCAGGAAAAAACCTGCACTAGATGAGAAATGTCCTATCTTCTACTCTGATTTTTCTGGAGAGAGTATTAGTGTTTTCTTGTTGCCATAAGATTACAATGTAAATGGAATGAATAACTTAGGCCACTTAGTCTTTCAAATAAAAACTTATCGGGACCACAAAACTACCACATTTGCACATAAATAACTCTCAAAGTCAGTCCCTACATTATAGAATAAATAGAACTTGTTTTTATTATGTGAAAAATTATTTATTTTTATAACAGCTTTTAAACTAACACAGAATTCTATGAAGCAGTAAAAGTCAGGTGTTTTTTTTTTAAAAAGTTTGATAATTTTAAAAAGTTTTGATATAAAAAAAACTTTAAAATAATTTAAGATGCAATTCTAGCCGAAATAATTTAAGCTATATAGAACACAAGAAGAGAGTTGAAGTAGTGGGGAGTTAATATGAATGTCAAGGTTACAATTAACAATAGTATTCTATTCTACAGAGGAGGTAAATGCGCAAGTGAATACAGTGGAATAGAAAAAGAACAGAAACTAGACTTCTAAGAATTACATGTTCAGCCAAGCCCTGCTACTGTGTTTTTGTTAGGTGCTGTTGAATATGATTCATAGCGACCCTCTGAATGACAGATCTGAACTGTGTCCTATCCTATGCCACCCTCATCATGTCTGTTATGCTCAAGCCCATTATGTTAATCTTGTGTCAGTCTATCTAACTGAAGGTCTTCCTCTGCCTTTTCAAGCATGATAGCTGTTTCTAAGGAATAGCCTCTTCTAGCAATGTGCCCAAAGTGTGTGAGGCACAGTTTCTCCATCCTTGCCTCTAGCCAAGCCCTAGTCGGGATTTTTGATCTGGAATTATTTGTAGAGTTAAGCTTTCCAAAATTTGAAGAGCAGTAACAAGTTTAGGTAGATTTTTAGACAGGAAAGTAACATATAAGGGACTGCAAGAAGACATATTCCCAGTCGCCCCACCTACTGACTCATTTAATTCTCACTGTGGGTATGCATATTTGGGTAATTAGAGGGTAAAAGATTTTAGAAATAATTTGAATTTTCTTGAAGTTAGTATTAGCAATACTTATCTCAGTAGCAAAAAAGATTTTTAAAAATCTGCAGAAATCAATGATAAATCCTTTTGAAAAAATAATCATCTAATAAATTTAATGTGCTCATTATGTTTTAAAACTTGTGTTATTAAATTTCATTATGATAAAAACTCTCATGGGTATTTGTTTCCTAATCTTACTTCAGTTTTAGTTCCAATGATATAACTAACTAGTAATAAATAATGTACTTAAATAATCCCTGTTGTATATTCCTAAGAAGAATTAGTTCTAAGTGGTTAAAGAGCTTTTTAATAGATGTTGAGCTTGTTTTGAAAACCTTCTATAATGGATCTATTGTATGCTTATGATTAAAATAGGTGCCATGATTCACAGCAGCCCAAATGTTGAATGATCAGTTTGTATTAAAAAATTTTAAAGTAACATATATGATAATAACTGATACTATATAAGAAAATGAAGTATTTGGGATGAGTTGAGATGTTTTGCTTTGATGTATACTTTCACCTCTAATAGACATGATGAAAGATTAAAGTTAGAGCTTAACTTGAGGAAACTTGCTTATGTGTTTTTAAGAACTTGCTGTCCTCTAGTGGTAATATAATGCTATAGTTGAAACCATTTTAATTGTAACAAACTTGTTGACCTGAAGGTGGTACTGAATCACAGGCTATTCTTCATGAGGGTTCTGAGGTTTTTTTAACAGGAGCAGATTGCCTCCTCTTTTTCTCTTGGAGCAGCTGTTATATTCAAGCCGCCTATCTTTCCATTAGTAGCACAATATACAACCCTCAGCTCTAGTGGCCTAGTGGATTGCACAGCAATCCTGAAGCCACATAGTTCAAATCTACCAGCTGCTGTGTGGGAGAAGGATGGGCCATCTTCTCCACTGCAGTTTACTTTTCTCTGATAGCCTACCCTTGCCAGAGGGTCAGCTGTGAGTTAGTTCCTACCGAATAGTATACAACAGTACCAATCCACAAAAGCTCTTTAATTCTTACACTAGCTAAGTAATAAGGCCATTTTGAAGGCGTGACATACCAAGTAAGTGCACTTTTCCACTTCTGGGTCAACAGTATTCTCATGTAACCTGTAGTTCCTCCTGATGACTAGAAACTGTATCTTGTATTCCTGTCACACACTCCCTCATGCCTCTGTATTTTGAATGCTGTTGGGTTAGAGTTGAAGAAACCTTCCATTATTTTTAGTGCTTTGGTAATCTCTGTGTCAGGCTTGTGCTAGTTCTGTCTGGCCCAGATTATTCCACACTTCTTTACTATAGACTACAGGATCAGTTCTCTTATTCTGTGCATTACTGCTTTTATTTTCCATAAGAAGTTTTCAGTTTATCTTTGGGATTTATGCTTGAACTTGACTCTGAGATTTTTAAATACTAATTTAGTAAGCATGATCAAGAGTTGACCCTTGTTTTCTTCTTTGTTCACGCAGACGTAAAAGGCCCACCTACCCACCGACTGTCTTGTGGTCAGTCACCCTACACAGAGACAACAACATGGGAGCGGAAGTATTGCATCCTCACAGACAGCCAGTTGGTGTTGCTCAACAGGGAGAAGGAGGTGAGATGGATGTTACTGAGAAAAGCTACTTCCCTTTTCTGATTCAATTCCTCAAATAACCTAGTGTTTATTTGTCTCTTGCTTAGTATATGTATGAAAATTGAAGCCTTATGACTGATAAAGTTCATGTAAGCCTAAAAGACTGCTAGCATCATAATGAGGGGCCATTGCTATGAAAGAGTAAGCTCAACAAGTTAGACCTACTTAATGTGAGAGTGCCCAGAATTCAGTCCCTACCTAGATCATAGTTCTTTATGATTGGAATCACATCCAATCTCTCGACTTTAAATACCTTTTATAGTGGTGATTCCTAAATTTGTATTTCAAGCTTAAATATTTCCTTTTTTCTAGACTTAACGCATTCGCTGGCCCTTTATGCATATCTGCTTGGATTTGTATTAGCTGTCAACAACATGCCCAAGACTGAACCTCTAATTTTCCCCTCCAGACCTACCAGAAGTCATTCCTTTTCTATTAACGGCCCAAATGTTCCTTAGCTACTACTCCGGCACATTGGCTTTGTCACTGTTCTTGATCAAACAAAGCAGGCAAGGCCTTGGCTTTTCCTCTACTTGAACAGTCTTTTCTCAGATTACTGTACAACTAGCTTTCTCACCTCTGTAGTCTTTCCTTACATAGTTCCCACTCTGTATGATCTCCTTTGACCAGTTTACCTAAAATTGTAACCCTGCCCTTTCATGTCTATCCAGAACTTCTAAACTAATTACCTTGCTCTAATACCACCCCCCAGGTTATTTTCTAGTCTAATTACCTAGTCCTAATACATGCCGCCTCTCCCCATGTTATCTTCCAAAATAATTATTTTTGTATGTTTATTGTCTTCCTCCACTGGAGTGTAAGCTTTAGGGCAGAGATTTTGTTTTGTTCAATGTTATATCCTATATTGCTTAGAACAGCTCCTAATGCATAATAAACTAAATTATTGATGGTATGTTAAAAATCCCAGATTATAAAAGATATTAGAAACTTTAATTCTTGAATGTCCATTTAATTTGGTTTAAGTTTGAGAGGTTGCGCCTTCTGTTCAATTTTCAACATTGCTCAGTCTTGAGCCATCCTCAGAATTGTTGCTATTTAAGTTCATTGTTGCAGTCACTGTGTCAGTCTATCTTCTTCATGGTCTTCCTCTTTTTATCGAATCTCTGTTTTATCAAGCAGTCCTCTTCTGAGGACTGACCCTTGTTGACAGAATGCCCAAAGTAAGTGAGAGGTAATCTGGGGTTTAGTAACAAAATTCTCTAGTTTACTTGGTCCTATCTCTTGCAGGTAATAAGAAAATATTTTGGCCTTATATTCTCTTTGATTTGGGTTGGTGGGAAGCCAGCTGGGGTCTTTCCTGGCACCTATGCAAAAATAATTTCTTTCATAGCATACATACTATTTGGCACAATATGCATGAAGCAATTTACTGAGTCAGTGAGTCATTTCTCAAGGTGATACTCCTGGCAGACTTCTCATCCAGCATTCTGCTCAGGTCACCTCTTCTGCTACATTCCTAAATTGGTAATTGGTGTATTTAACACTCTTCCCATGTATACCCGCCAAACAGACTTTTCTCCATTGCTGACAGAAAGCATGCAGAGTTGAGAGAGAACATTAAAGGATGCCACATACTGACTGAATACTTGAGTGGTGCTACACAAATAGGATTCTCCCACATTGCAGCAGTGTGTGGCTGAAGATAGCATTTAAATCCTTATTGAACGCTCTTAATTGATCTTTTTAACACAGTAATAAACCACCCCCTGATTAGTGGAGTAGGGCATGAAAACAGCTTTTCTAGATATTTTTAGCTCAAATTTCTTAGCATCATTTAAAGAAATTTTTAATTGTTAGTGTAAAATTCCAAGGATAAGAATTATGGTTTCAAAAGAGTATGGAGAAAGGTAAGAAGTAAGGGAGACAGAGTTTCTGCTAGTCTTTCATGTAGTGGTATTAACACATGCTAAATTTATCATATAAGTAGCAGGTGCAGAAATGTCTTAACATTTTCTTTTCCTAGAGACTTAATTGAATTTTCACGATTTAATGAAAACATAACCACTTGTCTCAGGGTGCTTCACTGGTTTTTAAGCTTATCACTCATTCATCATTTTTATTTGGTCTGTTGATGTAATCTCCTAACTAATCTGACTCTAATCCCTCTGTTTTTGAGACCGAGAAAGATATTTTTCTAAGCAGCAAATCCTATTATTCTTTGTCCTATTAAACATCTTCCTGTGGTCCTGAAGATTTCCAGAATAAAATGACACTTTCTTGGAATGGCCTTCAAGACTCTTTGCTGTCAGAATCTTGTCTTCCTTTGCAAGTCATGTTCTAAAAATTTGGTTCTTTTTGTGATTCGTCTAAAAAAATAAGATATTTCTTGACTTTGCATCTTTATATATAACAAAATGCTCTTCTTCTTAAAGATACAGTCAGAGCATATTTTTTTTTCTATAAAATCCTTTTTGTCACCATCTACTCCATGTAGGCAGCTCTGGTGGCTTAGTGTTAAGAATCTGCACTGCAATCCTGAAGGCACATGGTTTGAATCCACCATCTCCTCCATGGGAGAAGGATTGGAAGTTTCCTCCAGTGTGATTAACTGCCTTTGGAAACCACCTGGAGGGTCAGTTATGGGTCAGTTCTGACTCCACACTATGCAACAACAGCTCCAGGTAGTCAGTATTTCAGTTAACCATTTTCTTGTGGCTATATTATTATTTTTCATTTACATCTGTGGAAAGAATTGCTGGAGAAGCTCAATATCAGCTGTGAAAACTGGGCCAGGTGCTGATTGTGGAATAGACCACCAACTACTCATATGTAGGTTCAAGCTGAAGCTTAGGAAAATTAAATCAAATCCACAGGAACCAAAATTTGACCTTGTGTCTATCTCACCTGAATTTCAAAACCATCTTAGGAACAGGTTTGGGGCCTTGTACAATAAATGAGCAAAGACAAGATGCGCTGTGGGAGGATATCAAGAATATCATCCGTAAAGAATGCAATAGGTCATTACAAAGATATAGGAAGAAGAAAAGACTAAGATGGGTGTCAGAAGAGACTCTGAGTATTGCACTAGAGCACCAAGAAGCCAAAGCATAGGGAAGAAATCAAGATATTAAGGAATTGAACAGAAGATTCCAAAGGGCAGCGTGGGAAGACAAAGTATTACAATTAAATGTGCAAGGAGCTGGAGTCAGAAAATCAAAAGGGCTGAAATCACTCAGCATTTCTTAAGCTGAAGGAACTGAAGACCAAATTTAAACTTCGAGTTGCAATACTTAAGGATGCTGTAGGCAGAATATTGAATGATCCAGGAAGCATTAAAAGAAGATGGAAAGAGTATTGTTCTAAAAGGAATTGGTGACCACAGAAGAATTTAATGAAACAACATATGAGCAATAGCCTATGGTGATGAAGGAAGAAGTTCAGGCTGCTCTGAAAGAATTGGCAAAAAACAAGGCTCCAGGAATTGATGGCATACCGATTGACATATTTGAACAAACAGATGCTGCCCTGGATGTGCTCACCAAGTTATGCCAAGAAATATGGAGGACAAACACCTGGCCAACTGACTGGAAGAGATGTATATTTGTTCCCATCACAAAGGAGCGTGATCTGACAGAGTGCAGAAATTATCAAACAGTATCATTGATATCACATGCAAGCAAGATTCTGTTGAAGATTATTCAAAAGCGACGGGAACAGCACATCAACAGAAAACTGCCTGAAGTGAAGGCTGGGTATAGAAAAGGCTGTGGTACTAGGGATCTTATAACTAATGTCAGATGGAGCTTGGCTGAAAGCAGAGAGTACCTGAGGAATGTCTATCTGTGTTTCATTGATCATGCAAAAGCATTTGACTGTGTAGATCACATCAACTGTGGCTGACTCTGAAGAGTATGGGAATCCCAGAACATTTGATTGTGCTTATGCAAAGTAATGGAGATAGGTGTATTGGAGACAATACGATTGGCATGGGATAGACTAGGGTTTAGAGCTGTAGTATATAGGGTCACTATAAGTCGCAGGCGACTCAAGGGCACATAAAAACAACAAAACTGCTTATTTGTGACCACAGCACTTAACACATATTGGTGGTTTAGTAAACAATAAAATTGGGATTATTTATTCACATATGGGGAAAGGTCTTTATGGGCTATTTTATTCCGCTCCTTAAACATATTCTAAAGTTCTTTAAAAGGATATATGATTAGATATTATTGTTATGACAGGAGTCTAGAATGAAGAAAGCATAGTGGAGTGGACTTGGGGGGGGAGGGATTGAAGAACAAGGAAAGCATTTTTTCTTTTAGTTTTCAAAAAGTTTTAAAATAAAAAAAGAAAAGAAAAACAAATTTTTAAATTTTAAACTTTTTTGTATATTCATAAAAAGTTTACAAATCATATTATGTTTCATCCAGCTATTTAGAAACACTTTGGTATATAAAATTAATTTAGATAGCTTATTTAGCTAATTACAATGTCTTAATAAACTTAGTATATATTGCCTTTCCCTTCATCCAGTTTACCTATTTATTAAATATTTCCTCCCTCTCTTTCCTTTTTCATCTCTACTAACCTAAGGCTGATTCTGTCAGTGTATAAACTTCTCTTTAGGTTTTTTTTTTTTTGGTATTAGTAATCTTTTACTATAATTGTCCTTTTGTGACCAACTTAAGTAACTTATTTTAATGTTGATGTATTATTGCATTGGTCAAGTCCACTGTCAGGGACTTCTCCAAAATAGTGGAGAGCAGTGACATCAGTTTGAAGACTAAGACCATGATCTTTTCAATCACAAGCTATGTATCAGAGTGCTGGACAGTGAATATGGATCACAGAAAGAATTGATGCCTTTGATTAATGGTGTTGTAGAAGAGTACTGAGTGTACTCTTGTCCATCGATTTTAAAAGAGCACATAATTATGTCTTGAAAAAGTACAGCTTGCTCCAAGGAGGCCAAGATAGTGAAGTTTCATATTTCATAC